CACCCCTTCAACCTCTGCAGCAATGCTGGCAGCACTCATACGTCTATTTCCCAAACACAACCTCTGGATATGACGCTGAGCACGTGCACTCAACTTCTTTGGTCAACCATGGCGAGGCCTGTTCTGAGTGGAACCTGTCCTGTTAAACCGCTGTATGGTCTTGGCCACCATGCTGCTGCTCAGTTTCAGGGTCTTGGCAATCTTCTTATAGCCTGCGCCATCTTTATGTAGAGCAACAATTATTTCCGCAATTTTACCGCAAATTTACACTGTCATACAAGCTGTACACTCACTACTTTACATTGTAGCAAAGTGTAATTTCTTCAGTGTTGTCACGTGAAAAGATATAATAAAATAATTACAAAAATGTGAGGGGTGAACTCACTTCTGTGATATACTGTGTATATATATATATACACATACACATATATTTTAATCTTCTTTGAAGTATAGAAAGTTCAAAAGGATAATTTTATGTATTTCTTTTGTAATGTTATAAATGTATTTACTGTCACTTTTGATTAATGTAAATGCTGAAAAAACTAAACTTTTGAACAGTAGTGTCATTATTTAATATTCGTGTGAAAGGAATTTTTTTTTTTTTGCAACTGACCCAGGAACTTGGTCATAACACCCAATCCAAGTAACAGGACTTCTGATCTCAGAAATCACATGACATTCTACTGGAATGACCTAGAATTAGCTCCTGTGTGTTCATGAGGATTGGTGTTCTCTAAGTTTAGCTCTGAATCTCTTTTCCTCTCCTCTTTTCTTTGGCAGGGTCATGTGGTAATGGGCAACAACGCCATATCACCGTATCAGCAGGTGATCGAGAAAACCAAGAGCCTTTCGTTCCGCAGCCAAATGCTGGCCATGAACATCGAGAAGAAGCAGAGCAACGCGAACAGGAATGAGGTCAAACAGCAGAGCATCTCTCCTTCTTTTATCTGGTCTCATCTCTGTTTGTCTTGAGCCCTGTAGTTTGCACACACAAATGATCTATTCGAGCGGCAGTCAGCCCCGAACTGTCTTTACACGGCGTAAACCAGTAGAGCTTCTTCAAAGGCCTAATGACAAGGTAGCAGAGCACAGCCATAAAGAAGAGGGTCTGAGTCCCATGACTCAGCGCTGCAGAGTAAATAATGCTTGCACACACGCTCCGTGGAGTTCCCTGCATTTAGGAGTCGCCACAGATGTTTTGCTTGGGGTCCAGTGGGTCTTCGTTTGATCTTGGCCATGCGCTCTGATTGGCCCACGACAAACGTGCCCTCACTTAGTTTGAAATAGAGCGTTTCAAAATAACGGCCTTTAAATGTCTCTCAGTCCCTCAAAACATGTCATTTAACTCACTCACTCACACAACCACCACAATGGCAAAGGCCATAACACACAGTCCTGTATTTTGATGTGTTTGGCCAGACACAATTTAATTAAACAATTTGCTCAGGAAAAACCCAAAGGAAAGGTGCGAATGTGAACTCTAACTTCCTGTACTTGCAAAATAACCGCAGTTTTGTAGTAGATAGGAGTGTTTAGTCTGCTGCTTTTACGGTGCTGTTATGTAGCGGCCCACTCCACTGCAGCGAAGAGGGCACGGAAAGGTGATCGTCCCGACTCTCGTTATCATTTTTGACGTCGCTTGTCCTCTTTGTTCGCAGTCGGGCACGTCAGATGCGCTAGACAGTCAACATAATGCCTCCCCACCTTTCCCATCTTCTGCGCATGACACCTACAGTCTGCCGCTCTATATGTTTTCTATTTCCATCTCTCGCTCGCAGATGCTGCAGGCTGGGATTCAAAGTGTGTCTTAATGTCTGCTTTGGCCTCTCTATCAGCTGACATGTTTATGGGCCCTGTCTCTCTGGACGAGTGAAGACGGGGCTTATAGCTGCCACAGTGCTCGGGCTCCCAGCCAGCCATCTAAAACAACTGACGTCACCTTTACTTTCCCAGCGAGCGAGCGGCCGGGTGGGGAGGAAGGAGGGGGGGTGGGCTAAAGTGATTGGTTTACCGGTCCTGTGCCCTGACACATTACGAAAATAAAACCCTCCTAGCCCTTAATTATCACATTCACCTTAGGAGTGCTGTCTCAGATGTTGTTTTAGTAAGACATCCAGACCAACAGCAGACGTGTGGCTGAGAAGGTTGTCCACCACAACGTCTGTCACTTCACTTAAAGTAAATAAACAAACACCCAAACGAAAAGGTCAATGAAGGTTTTGGTTAAAAGGCTACATAATTTTTTCCCTTTTTCGCATTGTTCATTACTTTTCTCCTATGTGAAAAGGTTAAGGCATTTGTTCAAAAACAGGCCTCATTTAAAATATACAACGTATGTTCCCTAATAAATTTTTGTCGGGATTATTCTTGAGTCCTGTTTTCCAAATTGCAAATGTATTTTTACAAGAGTAGGCCTATATTTAGAGCATGCAATATGAGAGATCATTACAGAGTCTTTTCCAATGCATAAGCTTTGAGTTGAGATCACTTCAGGTGCTTCAGTTTTATATTTAGGTTCTGCGAGCGGCCGGGTGGGGAGGAAGGAGGGGGGGGTGGGCTAAAGTGATTGGTTTACCGGTCCTGTGCCATGACACATTACGAAAATAAAACCCTCCTAGCCCTTAATTATCACATTCACCTTAGGAGTGCTGTCTCAGATGTTGTTTTAGTAAGACATCCAGACCAACAGCAGACGTGTGGCTGAGAAGGTTGTCCACCACAACGTCTGTCACTTCACTTAAAGTAAATAAACAAACACCCAAACGAAAAGGTCAACGTAGGTTTTGGTTAAAAGGGCTACATAATCTTTCCCTTTTTCGCATCGTTCATTCCTTTTCCCTTACATGAAAAGGTTTACATTTGTTCAAAAACAGGCCACATAATTAAAATATACAACGTATGTTCCATAATAATTTTTTCTCGGGATTATTCCTTGAGTGCTGTTTTTTCCAAAATGCAAATGTCTTTTTTTTTTCTTTTTTTTTAACAAGAGCAGGCCTAAATTTAGAGCACCTTTTCAGTAATATGAGAGATCATTACGGAGTCTTCTCCAATGCATAAGCTTAGAGTTGTCTGGGAATCACTTCTGGTGGTTCAGTTTTATGTTTAGGTTATAGTATGCACATAAATGTCTTTGCAGTAAATGGCTATAACTAAAATTAGACCGTCAAGCAACCTGATACAACTCGAGTGCAAGGATGGCAGGTGAATAAATATATCTTCAATGAGATTTATTTTAATGAGAAATGAAACTCTATTGTGTTTCACTGATAGAGACAAATAGCCTTCATATAATTAACATTGACTTTGGGAGAATTTCACTTTGATCTGAACATCAAAGAGTTCTGGAGGAGAGAGTGTCATCACTTAGAAATGACAAATGCTTTTCTTTTTTTCTCCTCTCTGAGAAGGGTATCGGACAGTCCGTGTAGACTGTATCAAACGTGTTTTTAGGACATATGCACTTTTCTGTGGTGTATATGAAATGCTGTGTTGCGTAACACCTGTTATAAATCAGTGACTGTACCTGAATGAGGTGCTGCACACTTTGACCTGACCTGGAAGATTTCTAGATCATTTGAGCCAAAAAATAACGGGTGGAATAAGACATTTAAGATCGAGTCAAAAAATTGATGTATAAATAAAAGATTAAGTGCCACACCTAGTGGTCAAGCTGGGTAAAACATTTCTTGGATTTCAAGCAATTTATATCTATTTTGGCATATAAGCTTCTAAAGGAAATTGCCTCAGCAATCTTTCTTTTTGCATTTTAAATTGTTGTAAAACTTAAGATAATATTAATGTCTTAAAAGAAAACTGTTATGTTGGACATGGAAAGCGATATTAAGTTGTATTAATGCTAATATATAAAAAATAAATTGCAGTCTTTTAGATTTTTTTTTAACTAAAACGTTTGTTATTATAGCCCCAGATATCATAAGAGAACCCTTATTTTTGCCTCTCACGTTGTATGTATTAATTATTGAGTTTTCTGAATTTATTTCTCATTTTATCCCTGTTGATTAGTAGGTTTGCTGATCTTAGCAGATTTAAACTGGTATCCTGCCTGGGAAAGCTGGTGTCCAGCTGGTTTATTGAGTCACAAAGCTTGGCTTCTACACCCTACTAAAACCAGCAAAACCATGTTTAAATGTTTGTACATTTTTTCCCAACAGTATGAAACCAAGGAAATGCAGATTGCAGTTCAGGTACTTTATGTACAGTATTTTAAGTTGTTTTTAATATGGTGCTACTTTAATATGGTGGGGGTAGAAGTAAATATACGATCAATCCATAATACTATTAGTTTAAGCCGATGCACTAGGACCCTGGGGCTCATGTAGTGTATAGAGACAGCGGGAGAAATTCCATTTGTCATCTTCTAAAACTTAAACAAGGAGGGTGGGCAAACAGCCCTCTCTCTGACCGAGGGGCTTCTGAAAGTGCTCCGAAAAGCCCCACAAGGTCTTGGAGTCTCCACGTGACAGCAGTGCCTATATAGCATCAGCACCAGTAGAGTGGTACTCCATCACCAGCCGAGCACTGCAGCACATGCCACAGTTACACACACACATCCTCATGCACATCAAGGGTTTATTCTAGAGCTTGTGCAGACTATTGCGTCCATGTGTTTTCTCACTCAGTCTAGGGGACGAAGGGACTAAACTTTTCCTGCGAGAGGGATGCTGGATGTTCCAAGTCCACTTTGGCAGTCGGAAGAAACTCGATGAATAGGCAAAGTTTCTCTTTTTTGGACTGGACCCGCGCAGGTATATTTCTTTCGCTCCTCGCATCGACTTTTGAGGGCATCCACCGCGTCCCGTGCGCTTTTGGAGATCCGCTGATTCAAGTTCTTTTGAATGAAATAGTTCGCTCGCAAACCACGTTGATCCATCACGCTGTATTTGTTACTCAAAGAACCTCAAGTTAAAAGCGTTCTCTCTCTTTACAGACAATAACGCGACACTTTTTAGAGTATAAAAAGCGCGTTTCGCGCTCTAAAATGACATTAACCGGTGGTGAAAGATGGTGTTTTCTCTACCCCTCTAATGTGTGACACAACTGAGTCCGGACTCCTCAACTTCCCGCTCCTCTGTGGAGAAATATACATATTGAAACCTCATATACAGACCTTGCAGGTTCGCGGCGAGTACCTTTGACGCTTTCTTCCGCGAGTCGGGACAATCCTACAGCCGCCCAGATGCAGTTTCGTCTGTTCTCATTTGCGCTGATCGTGTTGAACTGTGTGGACTACAGCCACTGTCAGACGCAGCAGTCTCACCGCTGGAGAAGAAGCAAAAGAGGTGAGGGCACCGTGAATGTGGCTTTGATAGATGCTTTATTAATTGTCTAATTAGTCATTTAGCTGACGCTTCTACACAGCGAGACCTACGGTCCGCGTATGACAGGGACTGTCCCACCTGGTGTTACGCTACCAAAAATGAGCATGGTAACCGTACGCTTTCAGAAGCTTTCTGTGATTTGACTCTTTTTTGATAGAAGCAGCGGCAAGCTTCCACTGTTTTACAACAGTATGAATTGCTAGTTGTAACTCTAATGCTCTGGCGAAAAACTGTCTTTACCATAGTATTTTTGTAGGATGAGGTCGCTGTCTTGCTGCAAGGGTTCAGTGATGTTCCTCGGGGCACTGCAACTTCTCGAAGTTTTAGACTTCCACATGTATGTTGCCAAAATGTAAAAAGTGAGATCCTTTAAAGTTATTCACATAATTAGGTGTTTTTAAGAATGCACACATTCTTGTTTTATTTATTTTTGGCATGCATACTTGAATTTGTAGTGCCTTCAAGAAGAGAATGTTGCATTAGAAGTGGCTTTCAGCATCAGTTTCCGTCAGAGAATGCGCGTTGTGGTACCATCATCCGTGAAGATTTTTATTTTAAAGGTATCTTTCTTTCATTGGCGTCTTGTTTAACTACGTTACGCCTTTAATTTGTTATAAATAACGGCGCCTTGAACTATTCTCACATTTCTGACTTTTTTTCTTATTTAAACTCAGAATTGAAATATATAAACAACACAGAATTGGGAGGAAAAAGTAAAGATTCTGAGTTAGCATCTCACAGTTCTGACCTTTTCTTCAGAATTGCGAGATATAAGCTTACAATATGTGGGATAAAATGTCGCAATTACCTTTTTTATTTTTGTTATTGAAATGGGGTTCAATAGATGACAGAATTGTCATTTTTGGGTAAACTATGTCTTTGCTGCATGCCAAAAAAAACCTGGACTGAGTTTGAAACGGCAAGAGCAGAGTGTAGGATGTAAAAGGCCTCTTTGTTTTACAGTGATCAGGTCATTCAAATTTGTTCGGGAAGACATAAAAAAAAGAGTAATGACAAAAACTGTTTAGAGCTATGCTTTGTACAAGTTTACCCAAGGTCCCAGGTTTATGGGTGTAAGTGTTAATGTTGGCTCTTGCTATGTTCATGCCACTTAATGTTCTGATGAAGTGACAGGATGGGTGATTCCAGAGTCTCTTTATTAAGGAAAATAATAATAGCATTCTGCCAATCTTCTTTTGGAAAATGTGACATGTCGTTTCATTCTAATCCATAATTTAAGTGAAGTTCTATGGAATTGACATTCGACAATTGAACTCTCTCACCCAGCCATTCATTCTCCTATGGCCAGGAGTGACTTTTTTATTCCAGCAGGTTAGACAGAGTTGGTTGTGCCCCTCTGTGTCCCTCTCCTGTCGCCTTCCGTCGATCTGTGGCATGATCACTTTGGTGAATCTCTGAGAACTGAGTGTGCGTGAGAGAGAACATCATTAGACGAAGAGTTTATACTGAGGGAGGGATGGATGGCATATTTGAGGAGATCAGTTAGAGATGGTTGGAGCACCATCACCTGAGACGGATTAAATATTTTGGTGTTCTGAGGGAACAAATATATGATGAGACTTCCTTCTCTCTTTTTGTTACTCACTTTCCCCTTTCAGCTATCCTGTATACTCTTAAAAATAAAAGTTTTTTTTATTGCCATCGATGGTTCCATGAAGAGCTTTTAACATCCATTGAACCTTTTCATTGCAAGGTTGTTTTTATTGGAAATAGGCTAATACAATTACAATGAATTAAGAAAAAATGGTTCTTTTAAGAACTATTCACTGAAAGGTTATTTTGGGAGCCAAAATGGTTCTTTTATGGCATCACTGCGAAAACCCGTTTTGGAATCTTTTAAGAGTGTGTCTGCACAATGTGCTGCTTGTTTATATCGATACAAGTGGGGTCCACTCTTTTTTTCATTAGAAATGGTAAGTCGGATTGCATAGAAAAGTAATAAAAGACTGTCCACATCCTCTTTACTATTAACTCAATTAACTAATATAATTCATTTAAACAGGTCCAAAGTTTTGCACAAAACCAGGCGTCTTGTGTCCAAATGCTTTCCTCGTCACCAGGGTGCTGCCTCATGTTCCAAGCAGAGAACTGATGAGCATTGAATGCGTGCAGCTGAGAAAGGTTTTGTAACACTTTCCACGCCTTCATTTGTCATGTCGCAACAGAGAAATACCCATTGTGCGTTCATATAATTTTTTTTTTTATTGTAACGTACACATGGGGATCCTCACCACTGGCCTCAATCGTTGTCATCAGAAGATCCCATATGTTGGCAAAGCTAAATGCCAAACAGATGGTTTCCTCTCAGGCTACAATTTACCACACTGTAAAAGTTCATTTTCGGAAATGTGAAATAAAATAGACTTATTATATGAATCGTATTATAATACGCTCCATATTTCCCGATGGTGATTGAAAACCGTGGTGCCACAGACAAAAGGTCCAGTGTGCCTTTTAAATTCCAGGGAGGTGTTTTTTATATGTTCACCTCTGTTATTTCCTCAACAGCCAGCCCCCTGAAGTAATTTTACTTTAATGCATTTCTTATAAGGCTACTAAATATGGCAGGCCTGTTGAGTTTGATTCTCTTGAGGTTATTGAGCAGTAAAACTGTTGAATACTGGACTTGTTTCTAAGATGTAAACATAACACAAATTGTTTTAACATTGAACAAATGGTTTAAAATAGTAACTTGAGTCATACAATGACAACTAAATAGTATTGAAAGGTGTTTGATGAATAACAATACGAATTCATTGGGGCTGTTCACACTGAATGCATTTTTAAATTTCATCGGAGCTATTTTTAATTGTTTATTTGTGTACCTTTTAATTTGTATTTGGCCTTTCCATTGTCTCAATTTGTCACCATTTTAGGATGGCATGTCCAGTTGAAAGTAGCCCCCTGCATTCTGTTTCACCCTGTCTTTTTGGTTTTGAATGCAAGAACGTGTAATGTACATTCGCACATCTGTACCATGCGTGCTATTCAAAAGCATTGCTTTTTACATCAAGTACTGGTTTTACTTGGTATCATCTGGACACTTGATGAAGTGAGACAAACATTGTGCACGTCACGGACATCGTTTTGCCTGTTCTGTGACAGATATTCGCTCTGTTCCAAAACCTAGCGAGCTTCCTCCATAGCCAGCATTTTAAGACATCAAAAGTGAATTTCCAACATGTCTTTTCTGAAAAATATGCATCTTGATTATGCTTCCTTCTGAGATGTCTAATTTTTTGCCTATTTTACAAGACTGCATTGCTTTTGGCCTTCATGTAGAAGCCAATTGTAGAATGGATTGCAACAAGAAAATTGGTAAATATACTTGTATGCACATGAATCCATAGTGTTGCATTAAAATTGAGAGGTTTTTAACAAATTCTTGCCTTCTGTAGAGCGTTCCAAATCACTGATCATTTGGAGGTTATGTTTTAGATAGAATGCTGTTCTAGAATGTAGCTGTCTATGTAGATAAGTAGGCAGTGAGGAAGTTCTTGTACCATTCACTTCCCTATGAATCACCCTCCCCTCCCATCCTGATCTAGCTATATGAGAAAGGACGGGAGAGCACAGACAGGGTAATGGAGTGTCAGTTGAGTGTGCTGGACATTTTGAAGAATTTAATTGGTGGTTCAAAGTGCTTTGGAAGGGTTGTAGAAATCGAACTGCCTTGAGTAGGCTCTTTGTGTTCCCAGGCCTTGCCAGGTTCTATTCCGTACGGCATTTATGTTCGCCCTTTGAGAGAACATCGGTCCGTGTGTGTGCAGGCCTCCTATTGTACCTAGTCCGAATCGATCGCTGAAGCCTTGTTGTAACATGAGCTCTAGAGGCTTCCTCAGACAGAAACACACATACATATGCAGGCGTGTGAGGTCTGTCTCCAGCTCTGATGGATATTTACATCCACGCCTACACAAATCGCTGGAACAACAACAAGGGGGAGCAATGGGCTGCCGTTTCCCCCTCCCCATCCCAGTAACACTCGACAGATGGACAGGCCTCCTCTGTTCCCCTGCGCTTGATAGGACCTCTAATTACGCATCCACACCACATCAAACCAGCCATCCACACGCCTTGCTTTCAGTATGGTGCGGAAGTGAGACGGTCAGGGGCAATAAAGCTACACCACTTGCTTGTAATTTGTCCATGGATTGAGCTTGGGTCTCATCCCCTTTGCCCTGTCATTGTGCCCGTCTTCATTGTGGGTCTGGGTCGAGGACGTCTGGACTTTCTAAGAACTTGGAAGGGAGGTAGACACCCTGCCTGCTGCCTGCCTGCTGCCTGCCTGCCTGTGGAACCCAGAAGCCCTGGTGTGTTTTTAATCAAGGCCAGGCATGGTAGTCATTATAGTGCCCTGGCGCTAAGCTCATTGTCTTTCTTTGTCTCTCTCCCGCCCTCACTCTCTTTCTGTGAGGATTCAGCATGCATCTCAGATGTGAAGAGGTCTTCAAGGGTCACTAGCCATTGATGAGAAAGTGAGTGTCAGCGGTTTGTGAGCAGTAGCCAACATGTATCTGTAATCAGCGTATTTGTTCGGAGTCGTGAGTCATATGCGACCTCGCTTAATGCAACAGAACTAAACAAAAAGGTCTTTAAAACATTCTGTTCTCTATTATATAATAAGCTGTGTGCATTTTGCAGTGGGAAATGGGAAATGAATGGGCGATTCTGTGTCAATCTTATGAATTTGTTATGGATAGGAGTATAAAATGCTCAGTTTACTTCATTACTATCATGCCATCACTAAAATGGTTTATAAGTTCTCTCTCACAGACTGAGGTATTTGTTCCCTCAAGAGAAAAAATAAACTTTTACTAATATATATATATATATGTGCACAGTGATGTATGTCAGGAAAATATTTACTAAGCTTACACTATACCGTTCAAAAGTTTGGGGTCAGTAAGTTTTTTTTGTTGTTGTTTTTTTTTTAAATA